CTGGGGAGGAGGCTCTTCTCAGCCAGACTGGCTGACCTGCTCCACTGGGCTTTAAACTAAGCCCGCTGGGGGATGGGGGGATTACCGCCACTGCTGGCCTGCTGAGCAACCCTTGCAAAGCCAGCAGGCCAAGGCACTTATGGGAACCTACCCCTGCCCCAGCCCTGGAACAAACTGTAGGCAAGGAAAGGCCCCCAGTGGGACACTTGACTGCCATACACAAATGCCAGGAGCTTAGGGAGTAAACAGGAGGAACTTGTCCTCCTGCTAAACTCAAATAACTATGATGTCATAGGGATAACGGAGACCTGGTGGGACTCCACCCATGACTGGACTAAGAGTATAAATGGCTATACCCTGTACAGGAGGGATCGAGTGGACAAAAGGGGTGGGAGTGTAGCTCTCTATGTCAAGGAAAGCTTTTTGGCCCTGCAAGCCGACATTGGACCCAATGGTGGATGACTTGAGACTCTCTGGGTTAAAATCCATGGGGAACACATCACAGGAGATACTATGGTGGGAGTCTACTACAGACCCCCTACCCAGGGTCAAGTCCTTGACCAGGAGTTTGCCAAGGAATTGGCTGAGGCTGCACGCTCCTGGTGTATGGTTGTCATGGGAGACTTCAACTACCCAGACATCTCGTGGGAGGAGCGCTCAGCCAAATCCGAGCTGTTGCAAAGCTTTCTCTTGTGCTTGGATGACGTCTGTCTGATCCAGGAAGTCTGGGCCGACGAGAGGTAAAATGCTGCTCAACCTAGTACTGGCAACTGGGAACAACCTAATCAGCGACATAACAATCGAAGGGAAGCTGGGTGACAGTGACCATGAGCTGATCACCTTCACCATCCCCTGTAAAGTTGGCAAGTCAGTCAGTAATACAGAAGTCCTCGACTTCAGGAAAGCTGACTTTGACAAGCTAAGTAGGCTTGTCACTGAGGCCCTAAAGGGCCACAACCCAAAGGGGAGGGTAGTTCCGGAAGAGTGGTTGCTCCTCAAGGGAGCAATCCTGCATGCGCAAGCTAAGACTGTCCCATCTTGGAGGAAAGGCAGCAAAAGGGCACAGCAGCCCCCTTTGGTCTCCAGGGAACTAGCGGACCTCCTGCATCTCAAAAGGAAGACCTACAAAGGATGGAGGACTGGATCCACCACCAAGGAGGAGTACTGTGTTGTGGTCCGGACCTGCAGAGAGCAAACCAGGAAAGCCAAGGCTGCGATGGAACTCCAGCTAGCTACAAATATCAAGGACAATAAAAAGTCCTTTTTTAGATATGTGGGGAGCCAGAGGAAAAGCAAAAGCAACATTGGATCTCTACTAAACCAGATGGGACAACTGACAACCGATGCCCGTGAAAAAGCAAACTTCTTAATGGGTACTTTACGTCAGTTTTTCACCAGTCCCATGGGACACCCCTGCCCACTGTGGGTCAGGGAGGCCTGGGTGAGGGAGATTCCCTGCCCTCCATCAAAGCTGACCTCGTGAAGGAA